CAGGGACTAAAAGGTGACTGGGTTAAATGGAAGCATTGATTTGATTAAGTGATTGGATTATAGACAAATTCTGCCCTTCATTTCTTGCTAATTTTTTGTAATAAGGTAAAATACATATATATTTTTTAAAGATCCCATGCTTGGAAAAATATTCATGAATTTATCATTTTTATACATTATATTCTAAGAAACATTTTGCTATGATGATAGTGAATAATAAATATCAAATGATAATGGAACTTTTCTATCTGCCATCTCATTTCATCAGTACAAAATTAGCAGCCACCTTGGGAACGACCATCTGGGAGGTGTTTTAAACAGCACCATTTAAATTCCTTCTGGAATTTGACATGGGCAAGTTATAAGGAAAGATTTGGAGAGAATGGTCCATTTGCAAGGAACAAAGTGTCTCAGTTTGGCTACAAATGATAGTCCTTGAGATGTATGGCTTTCCCAGTGAGGAAAGGTAACACTTAAATCCGTCCTCCAAACCTTCTCATAATTTTATCCGGCCTTGACACTCTGGCCTCCCCAAGCCTCACAGTCATGTTGCCTTGGATCATCTCCAGTTTTCTCCTTAAAACTGTTGCTGAAACCACTGGAAGGGCAGCAAGATCATCCATCATGCTTTAACATAAACAACTTAGAAGTGACGGTATTTGCCTGCATATATCTGCCACTGCAAGCCATCCCCTCTCAGGGCCCAGCTTAGGGTGTGTTGGAGCGATAGGTGCCTTTCAGAATTGCCGTTGAAAATCTTCAAGTGTCCTAGTCAGGCAGAACTACCCAGGCTCTCCAGCGCCCGTGTCCTCAGTAGCACTTGTTCACCCCTCAATTCTAGTATTACTCAGAGGTAGCTGTTTACGTGTCTGCTTCCCCTCACCAGATTCCAGCTCCTTGAGGGCAGGAACTGTGCAGTCCTATCCTTATCACCCTGCATCCAGTACAGTACTGTGAACACAGTAGGCTTTTTGTAATTTGTTGTATCAATGAGAAAGTAGAGTGGAAAAAGCACAGATTTGGAGGGAAGCATATATGGAATCCAATCCTGGCTTTATCTACTATGTGATTTGGGGTGAGTTTCTTAACCTTTCTGAGCCTAAGTTTCCTAAAAAACAGGTTGCAGGGCCGGCCCCGTGGCTTAGCGGTTAACTGCGTGCTCTCCGCTGCCGGCGGCCCGGGTTCGGATCCTGGGTGCGCACCGAGGCACCACTCCTCCAGCCATGCTGAGGCCGCATCCCACATACAGCAACTAGAAGGATGTGCAGCTATGACAGACAACTATGTACTGGGGCTTTGGGGGAAAAATAAATAAATAAAATCTTTAAAAAAAAACAGGTTGCAGTAGCCAGTTCACAAGGAGCTGGGAGGCTGATAATAGGTAATGTGTGAAAAGCGTGTTGTAGACTCTAAGTACTCTCTGGGTGTTACACAGATCTTTGCTGTGTGTCTGTGCACCAGTCAGGGCTGTGCTAGGTGCTGGAGAGCTACAGAGATGAAGAGAGACAGGTTTCTCCCCCCAGGATGTGAGTAGTCTACCGTTGTGATTTTTCTTCTAAGTGATTTTGTTTTTTGGGCTATCAGACTTAAGCTTAGATGGATCAATCATTAAATGCATTGACTGGTTTCTAACCCCTTGTTTCTTCTGCGTGGATCCCCTCACCCTAATTATGAGAGAGCCCCCAGTTCCACGTTGCTCCTGTTCTTCATGGGACACTGCCAGCAGTTCTGAAGAGTCTTTATTCTCTGCTGCATTGCTAGTACTCAAGAATATTACAGAATTATGGAAGTGATGATATCATATGCCAGCAGAATAAGAATCAGGAAAGCCTCCCATCCTAAAATTACAATGTAGCATACTTTGTTATTACAATTAGATAACTATTCTTTATGAGGAAAGCAGCTAATTGAACTCAGCTACAGGGAGAATGAATTCAGATGTTTTCTGGGGCACTTCAAGGTGTATCCGATGGGACTCTGTGCTCACTGCTAGAAGTGAGGTGATTAGAAAATTTAGAAGGTTTGTTAGAACAATGAGCTCCTTTCCAAATATTCTTCAAGCTCACCTTAAGAAAGAGAAGGAAGGAAAATGGTGCCTTAAGGAGTCCCCAGTGTCAGCTCACAATTGCTTATGTTACTGGGATGATGGAAAATCCCAGCATGTGAATAATTTTTTTAAAACCCATTTAGCTTTGATTTTAAAATACATAGTTAATGTTTAACAATGTTAGGGTGAAAAATAGTTTTTTTCCCCATGTATATTGCCTGTTAAATGGTGGGAAAGGGTGTATGTGTGTTTGTGTGGTGCTAGTGTGTGCACGAGTGTGCGTGTACATGAGTGCATATGTACATGGGCTTGCAGTGTTTATAGATTCACACTCTCTAAGCCCAAAAGGGAAAACACTTCTAACAAGTAAGCATTGACTCTAAATGTTTTTAAATTAAGTGCATTGTTGATAAATCATTGATCACATGGTGCCATTGATTAGTGACTCCCTTTTCCTTAGCTAGGACGGAAGTTTTTTGTTGTTTCTCTGTTTGTTTTTTGTGAGGAAGATTAGTCCTGAGCTAACATCTGTTGCCAATCCCCCTCTTTTTGGTGAGGAAGATTGGCCCTGGGCTAATATCCGTGCCCATCTTCCTCTACTTTATATGGGACCCTGCCACAGCATGGCTTGATAAGTGGTGCGTAGGTCTGTGCCTGGAATCTGAACCCATGAACCCCGGGCCGCCGAAGCGGAGTGCGCGAACTTAACCACTACACCACCGGGCCAGCCCTGGAAGTTTGTTTTTATAATCCAATGTTTTAAGTTCCTACTCTATACAAAACATTATGTGGGGAGTGAGCTAGAGGTACAGCTAGACCCTTGACTTTGAGATGTTTGAAGACTTTCAGAAATCCCCAAAGTCTGGGTAATTTCATTTCCATTAAATGTAACATGAATCTTTTCAACTCTCACTAAGTGTTGAATCTCCCCAAGCTTAGTTCTAGGCCCAGTTCTCTTTTCAACCTCTCCCAAGGTTTCAATTACCATCTAAATGGTTCTGTCTCCCAAACATGTACCTCTAGCCCACTCATCTGCTTGCACTCCAGACTCATGTCCCACATTAAATCTCTACTTGGATATATATGCTACCCCAAATTCAGTGTGTCCAACTAAACCTGGGGGCACCATTTAAGTGAAGTTACCACCATCCATCCAGTTCCATCATACTTCCATCTCCTTCATTCTCTATATCTAGTCCACCACTAAGTCATGCTGATTTTATTGGTTAAATATCCTTTAAATCCATGCTCTTCTCTCCTTTCCCATAGCCACCACTCTAGTCTAGGTCACCATGATCTCTTGCTTGGATGACTACAATAGAACTCCCACTGGCACCCCTTCTTCCCCTGTGGCTCCTCTTCAGCACTCTCTTTTTCAAAATGTGAATCTGATCAGGTCACCCCCATTACAAGGCCATTTAACAAGTCCCCATTGCTCATAGACAAAAATCCAGAATCCTTAATATGGCCTCCAAGATCTGCATGGCTCCTTTGGCTGTATGTATTCCTGCCACAGAGCCTGGAATAATCTTCACCTGACTTCTTCATATAGTTAACTTGTGGCTGCTTTCTACACCTTAACCTCAAAAGAAACACCCATAAGAAAGCCTCCCCTAGCCCCTTAAACTGTCACAGGACAGTGTGCCTGTCCTTCATACCACTTACCACAATGTGCAGCTGCATGTTTAGTTGTGTGATTACTGATCACTGTCTACCCCATAGTGCTATAGGTCCGCAAGAGTAAGGACTGTGTCTGTTTGCTCACCAATGTATTCCTAGCTGGAGGGCCGGGGGGGGCTTTGTCCTGAAGGATCTCTAAAGCAGAGTTAAGCTATTTGGAATTTATCCAAAGGGCAGTTGGAAGCCTTTGAAGGATTTTAAGCAGGGGAACAATGTGATCTCTGGAAGATGTACACTCTGGAAGAATCACCTTGGATGAGGTGTAGAGAAATCCAGACAACCACTCGCGAGACAGAAATGAGGCAGAGCCACAGTAACTTTATTCTTTATTCCACTTCTCCTATCCCTCCTCTCTAAATCCAGTGAGGCCAGTTACTCATAGACCCTCTCAGACAAATGCTTGATCGTCACCTAGTCATTTGAACATTGACTGACTTCCTAACTACATCCTTGATACTAGGAATAATAAAATGAGAAATGGCCCAGGCCCAATCTGTTATCCCTAGCCCTCATCTCCCACTTAAGTGGAAAGTCTAGAGACTGTCCAATAAGCAGAGAATATAATCTACTGTGGAAAGTGCTACAATGGGAGTTTGAATGGAGTTCTCGAACTCAGAGGAGGTTATAACTAAAACACTTCTCTGGTGGAGCCAGAAAATGCCTCACAGAGGAGGGACATTTGAACTGGTAGCAATGGGAGGATTTTGTCAGGTAGAGACAAATGAGGGGGCGTTAGAAGTGACTGGAACGGCATGTGCAAAGGCCCAGAGCTGTGAAAGGGCATGGCATATTGGGGAATGGCTTTAGCCCTGGATATGTGGGGGTGGGGATGGGGAAGGTGGTCAGAGATGGGAAAAGAGAGGTATGTTGGGACCTTATTGTGAAGGGCCTGGTATTCTTAACTCAGGAGTATGAATATCATGCTGTGAGCTGCCAGAAATCACTGAAACACTCTTAATATCTCTGCATTAAAAAGCAGTACATGAGGAAATGCTTTATATTAAAGGTCTAATGGGAAAGACTTTATATTAGACCAACTGAGACTTTATATTAAAGGTCTACTAGGAAAGCAGTGACTGAGCCAGTGGGAGTAATGATCTTCTGAACCCAAGAAACACAAGAATGATTATGGTCCTGAGGGAGGTAAACTGGGATCTGGGCCTCTGAGGGAAGGGAGGGCCCTGATTCCTGCCCCTGGGAGACCGGATAGTGAGCCTGGCTGCACACTCTTGCCTGCTCTGCCATGACAACTGTCTGGATTTGTGTCTTTCAGTTCCATGGAGAATGGGAGGCCCCCCGATCCTGCAGACTGGGCTGTGATGGATGTCGTCAACTATTTCCGAACAGCAGGATTTGAGGAGCAAGCTAGTGCTTTTCAGGAGCAGGTAACTGGGTCTAGAGAAACACGTGATGAACACAGTACCTCTCCTCCCCACAGTGAGGAGGAGGAGGACTAGAGAGCAGTGAGGGCTCAGTGAGGCTCTCTGCATGTCCTCACATCAATTCCTGATCATACCGGGCCTTAAGAAACTGAGGGGGGTGGGGAAGGGGAGAACGAAAGTGCCAAGCTAATGATTCCTTCCTGCAAGAGACAAACCCAAGCCCCAAGACACAGGCACAGCTGCAGAGAGGAGGGCTAACGCTCATCGCCATCTGCATCTTCTGAAAGAGGGAAGAGCCCCACCTTCACCACAGACACACTAGAAAGCAGAAAACAGAAAAGAAAGAAAAAGGAGGGACAAATCTGACTGAGAGACGTGCAGCACCATCTACTACTGGCCTCAGCACTGAGCTATTAATCCTCCTCCAGTTTGCTTTCTGGGTGCTTAACAAAGTAGAGTGGAAAGAGCACAGGATTTAGAGTCAAATCCTAGTTCTTCTAACCCTGTGTGACCCCAGGAAAGTTACTGCATCTCTCTGAGTCTTGGTTTCACATCTCTAACATGAGACTATCAATGCCTAACTGGTGGTGTTGTGAGGATTAACGGACAATGTATGCCCAAAGCCTCGGATAGGTCCTGGCACAGTGTTGATGCCCAAACAATGTTAATTCCCTTCCCTTAGGAACAGGGTTAGTACTGGAAAGAGGGAGAGAGGAGCAAGGGGTCTCTCCCAATCATCTAGGTGATTCCTGACTCCATTTTTCAGGCTAGGCCCCTCTCTAGGGATGGTGCTCAAGGGGCTGTGACCATGAGGAAGCAAATTGGGGAACCCATGGTCCACACCAGACCAGCCCTGTCTGGAAACATAGTTCTTATCTCCCTATCAATGAAGTCGGCAGTTTTCTAAGCATTAAACTTACTTTTCTAATATTATCATTTAATTGAGAGAATTATAAACTAAAGAATGTGTTTGGCTGCTTCTTCCACATCCCTTAGCCAGTTCTTATTCTGTCAGGCTGGGATGGATAGGTGAACTTTTCTAATATCATATATGCCAATCTCTAGATTTCCTTTGACAGATATTTCCTTCAACCTGATCCCTGTACATATATACTTTTTGTTAATTTGGAAAACTTGCCAAAATAGCAGCTTAAATCACTTTATACCCACCAGAAGAGCTAAAATTAGAAAGATTGATAAATCCAAATGTTCGTGAGGATGTGGAGCAACCACACTCGCCTACATTGTTAGTGGGAGTGTGAAATAAACACTCATACGTCTACCCCATGATCCAGCAATTTCATTCCTGAGTATTTACCCAAGGGAAATGAAAACATATGTCCCCAAAATATTTGTGTAAAATTGTTCTTAGTAGCTTTATTCATAATGGTCCAAAACTGGAAGTCTAAGTGTCCATCAAGAGAAGAATGAATATACCAACTGTGGTGTGGTGGTACAATGGAATCCTACCTGGTAATAAAAAGAAATCAACTACTGATATGTACAGCAGTTTGGATGAGTCTCAAAACATTATGCTGAGTGAGAGAAGCCTTACATGGAGGAGTTCATACTGAATAGTTCCTGTCTTAGTCCATTCGGGCCTCTATAACAAAAATACCATAAACTGGGTGGCTTACAAACAATGAACATTTATTTCTCACAGTTCTAGAGGCTGGGGAGTCTAAGATTAAGGTGCCATCAGATTGGGTGTCTGGTGAGGGCCCACTTCCTAGACAGCCATCTTTTCACTGTGTCCTTACATTAAGGAAGGGATGAGAGAACTCTCCGGCACGTCTTTTATAAGGGCATGAAGTCCATTCATGAGGGTTCTGCCCTCATGACCTAATTACCTCCCAAAGCCCCCACCTCCTAACACCATTACTAATACCCCTAATACTCCTTGGGGGTTAGGTTTCAACATTTGAATTTTGGGAGGACACAAACATTCAGACCATAGCAGTTGAGATATACTAGATAAAGATTGAGAACAGGAGAAAAATGAGAACAGTGGTTGCCTCTGGATAGGTGAGAGTGGAGAATGACTGGGAAGGGCCATGAGGGAGCTTTCTGGGTGATGGTAGTCTTCTCTGTCTTGATGAGGATTTGGGTTATAGGTATATGCATTGCTCACTGCATATGCACAGGGATATGCAAATGATTCAGATTTGTACATTACATAGCCTATAAATTTTACCTCAAAGGGAAAAGAACTATAAAAAATATTAAACAATTAATAGTATGCAAACAGAAGTATTTAAGGGAGCAGTATACTGATGTATATAACTTACTTTGAAATGCATCAAAACATGGATTGACAATTGGATAGAGAGATGAGCAGATTGATAGACATATGATAAAGTAAGTATAGAAAATGTTAATTGTAGAATCTAAGTGGTGGGAATATGGGTTTTCACTATAATATTCTAACAACTTTACATTTGAAAATTTTTGTAAAATTGTGGGGACAAAATAGCTCAGGTTGGAAAGTGGAAGGCCGATCAGCTGGAACATATTTTATTTTGGTTTTTAATGGTATAATGTCCATTTGTGTCATTGCAGTTGAGTAACTTGCTTCAAAAATTAAATTTAAATAATATTGTGAAAGGTTAAAAAAAAAAGGACTTAGCTAAAAGGTCTCTTGGCCAAATTCCCAGCTGCCCAAAGCATTTTTCAGATCAAGCTTTGGCTCACACTCCTCTGAGGCAGATGTCCCAGATTGGTGGGAGGGGGTTATTCTTTGGGCCTTCCGGATTCTGTGCAAGACCTCCGAATGGAACTAGCCAGCTCTGAGCTTGGCCCAGGAGCAGGCCCTTTCTCCCAGGGATGACATCACTCTGGCACCAGTGATACTGGGATGCAAAAGGGAACAAATTCTCCCAAAGCATTTCATTCAGAAGTCCTTCAAGGGGGGAGAGGAGCATCATCTTGCTACTGTGTTGAGCCCACCAAGTTGGGAGCCTGAGAGATGAATTCCCAGGGGACTGGAGTTTTGCAAGCATGGCCTAGAAGCTCGAGTTCCTTCATTCTCCTAGAAAGGTGGTTGGGTGGGGGAAAGAGTCTGCCTTGAATTAGTCTCTGAAAATGATCCAAATCTTCCTCCTGCTGTGAAATTCTCCTTTCCTCTTCTCACTAAAGGAGGTAGAGGGCAAGGAGGGACCCACTGGCGAGGCTCAGGCTGATAAGACAAGTAGCTGCTGTGGTTTTCCTGAGGGTTGGGGATCAGGATCTTCTACCATGTTAACCTACCTCTTCCGTCATCGTGCTTCAGAGGCCATCGATGTTTACCTCCCAAGATCTTCTTAGCAATCTCAAGCAGTCACTCACCAAGTTCATCCCAGATGGGAAGACTGCAGGCCACCCCCAGCCCAAATACTTGACCCTTCCAGGCACATCTTCCAGGTCACAGCAGCTGAGAAACAATAAGAATGGCCACATCCTTAAATTTCCTCAGGGAAGGCTTTGCCCTGCCATTTGATGGAAGTGAGACAGGGATGGAGAGCATCCCCTAAACCACCTTAGAAAAGGCAGGTCCAGAAAGGGGAGCACAGTTGCCAATGATGTGGGGAGCTTAGTTTCATGGCTGACTGTCATGTACTAAATACTTGTGTCCCGGCAACATTTGTATGTTGAAATCCTAACTCCCAGTGTGATGGTATTAGGAGGTGGAGGCTTTGGGAGATAATTAGATTTAGGTGAGGTCATGAGAGTGGAAGCCTTATGATGAGATTAGTGCCCTGAAAAGAAGGGACCAGAGAGCTTGCTCTTTCTCTCTTTGCCATGTGAGGATACAGCAAGAGGGCATCCATCTGCAAGCCAGGAAGAGGCCCTTGCCAAGAACCCGACCACGTTGGCACTGTGATCTTGAACTTCCAGCCTCCAGAACTGTGATAAATAAATGTCTGTTTTGTTTAAGCCACCCAATCTATGGTATCTTGTTATAGCAGCCTAAGCTTACTAAGACACTGACACTGATGCCAGACACATCCACCATCAGATGGGCCGACTTTCAGGAGAGTATCAGTCCTCATGGTATGGTCTCAGAGTATGTTTTTAGATATTCTATTGCTGTGGCAACCAGACTCAGATGTGGCTTTCTAGTAGCATGCTCCCTTGGAAGATGTCAGGCTACTGAGTGAGATTTGTCCAAAGTGCAGGAATGGTGCCCCATGTTCCTGTGGTATGGAGAGGCAGCTGGCTTAAGGTGATGATCTTTGCATAACCTCCTTTCCCTGTGCAGGCACACTGCCACATAACAATTATCTCCATTGTTTCCCACTGGTGCAATTATCTCCACCAAGTTTTCTTCTGACAAACCTCTTTTGAGCCTTCCCTGTGAGCCACAACTACAAGCCAAAAGAACTGTCAAGAGGGAAGGCCTAGGCCCCTGCCCAGCTCCCTCCCACTCCTGCAGTGATCCAGTGTCTTAGTGTGTACGTTTGGGGTTGTATTACTGTTCGGGCCATTCCCCTTTTGTGACCAGTGATGTTGCTCTCCCTCAGCCCCTTGGCCTCATTAACATCCTGCTCCAGAGGGTTCACTGGCCCATAAGAGCAGGAGGCAGTGATTACAGCACTGTCGGTACTGTCTGTCTTTCCCACAGACCCATGGTGTGGTGGCTGTTTTCCCGAGTGTCCTCTAGCAGACAGACCTCTTAGGCTGTGGTGAAAGGCATGAGTGAGAGTCGTGACTTCTTTTCTCTTGATTGACTCATGGTCACTGGATGATCCTGGAGAGTTTGCCTTTCTAGGGCTCAGATTTCTATAAAGTGAATATTGAGTTAAACAAGTAGAATGTTGCACAAGCTCCTGCTTTGAGGCAAGAGATATCTTGGAACTGGCCCTCATGAAGTATGCTTTCAATGCACAGCATAGGACACAAAACCACTTGAGATGTTGTACATATACTGTTGAATTTTTGTAACTGGATGATAAAAAATTGGCACTTGCCCAGGAATATGGATTGCCTGGTTTTCAAGAATCAAAGGTACTTAGGAATTTTACTTT